ACTGATTGCGCTCCCTGAGCTTCCAACAACTGGTTAAGAGAGCTATCTAATCGCGCAGCCAGAATTTATAGCGTGCACGCATGCGCGAAGAACACGGAATTGCAAGGACTTAGAAAGGAGATTAGGAGAGGGAGCGCCTGCGTTCTGCATGGCCAGATCGCGGCGTGGGGGACGTAGCCACTCTCCACGCATCGATCCGAGCAGGCAGGCCGCAAGCCAACTAGACACAGCAAAAGGAGGAAAAGGGAGAGCGGGAACGACGAAGTTCAAGAAGAAAGATACAGTTACAATGGCGCCCGCCCAAAATTACAGTTACACACACGATTAAGGGCGCCGACTAATCAGAGCTCAGTTGCAGCCGCAAAAAGAAGCGCATAAGCAAAAAGCGCCATGCGGCAAAAGAAAATCCTAATTGCAAAATTCCTAAATTCCTATCTAATGCAGAAAAGCGAGAAGCACAATCTCCGAAAAGAAAATCCGAAATTCCGAGAGCCATTGGGGCTCGACAAGATTCAAAAAGAAAATTCAAAAAGAACGAAACAAACTTCCCGCGCGGTCTCCACGCCTAAAATCTGACAGCAGCACCAAAAAGAAGCGACGTCAACCGTTATTAATCGCGCCTGGTCGACGCGACATCCACTCAATCAATCATCCCGGGACTTGCCCGGCCCTGAATCCAGCCATCCGAAAAAAAAGAGCGACGAAAGAGAACAGACGAAAAAGCGAGAACACTGATGCAATTTCCCTTCAATCCCGATCTCCCGTAATTGGCCCATCCTTCCCAGCTTAGGACCCCTCGTTGCTAACGCGCAGAAAATCGCGCGGAACGGAAATGGGTTGGTCACAGTATTCCCCCAGGCCCTCTCTTCATTCACTCTGCTCCAGGTACGATAGGTATTCACGCTCGAACAGTGGACAGAAGGTCTGCCAGTACTCCTTGGATAGTCCATCCCTTCCCTGAGTTCTCTTGGGCTTGAGCGACGACAGTGCTGCTCTCACCTCGTCCTGTGTTATAGGTCTGTCTAAAGGCTGCCCTTGGCGTCAAGGTTCTGTCCAAGTGAAGCAAAAATTTCTTTCTCACTCTTTTGGCGTCATCCGCAGGGTAGTCTGTCTCCCTAGAGGTATCTGCCTGAAGAAGCTCGCGGGTACATCTAACACTCTTCAGAGGTGGCATCCCCAGGGTGCTGCAGTCTCTCTATGGTCGTGCCTCTGGCTCTGGCCTTAATCTTCTGAAAGAAGTTCTTGGTCGAGCACTCCCCCTCGCTCAACTCATGAATTCTAGCCCTTAACCTCAGTCCATTCAACCTCCACTAGTTTTTATTTTTTCCAGTTTTTGTCTTTTTTGTCATACCTCTTTTGATTGCATCGTGCTTTCTTGTTGTTTGGCTCGCTGTCGTTCTCCTTGCGGCCTTGCCTCCCCCATGCCTTCCTATGTGCTTTGCTGCCTTGTGCTATTTGCCTGCCCACCCTCCTTTCCCATGCCCTCCAGCCTATGTGCTTCGCTGCCTGGTGCTGTCTGCCTTACTGCATGCTGCTTGTCAGCCCACCCCCCTCCTCTATGCCCTCCAGCCTTTGTGCTTTGTTCCTGCTTGTGGTTCAACACCTTGCCTCCTTGCCTTTCCCCTTGCTGCTTATTGCATCTGCGGCTGTTTTTCTTTGTTGTTGCTACCTTTGGTTGTGTTACTTTGAGGGTTATCCAATGACTTGACTCACTCAGATCATACGTTCCTCCTGGGGTGTTGCCATGGTAGGGTGCATGGTTTTGTACCATGCCGAGGACAAACGGAAATGTGTTTTACACACCTCCACACACATAGCCATGCACATGCACACACAAAAAGAGGAAAGTTGATACGTTCACTTCTTAGACCGATTAGCTTAGCTAACTGATTCTAAATCACTTGATTGGATTGACCGCTCAGATTGCAGATGAGAACCAACTGACCGATCACCACGCGATTGCCAAGTGATTGATTGGTTAGTTGCTTGCTTGCTTGCTTGCTTGCCTGCGTGATTGATTGATTGATGGATTGATCAAACAGGTTGATTGACTGTTTTATGGATGAAGCTACTTTCATGCCCGGGAGCGAGTGCATGCGAGACAGTTTGTAAGAGTCTCGTTGTTTTTCCCCTCCTTTTCTTTTTGCAGTCAAGTGATCCGAGATCCGATCAGAACGTATGTTGCTCTGGAAACAAAACACACGTGCTATCTCTCTAGCTGAACGCGCCACTGCGGAGGGAAGAAAAGGTAGGTTGAAAATAATTGGTTGTGCGGCTTGTGCCCACAATGACCGTGAGGAGATTGGTCAGTGACAGACGGTTTGATCGCACAGTCAACGTGCCGCACGTCTGGCTGCGAAGCAGTTGGGACAAAGAACACTCTCCCTTCAACATTTTTACACAAATGGTCGCTATGGCACGCCCGAAGGAGGTAAAGGGAGGGCAGTACACGGCGTACGGATTCTTCTTTTGTTGCTGTTCAAATTCCGTACGGAAATAT